TCAATGATGCCGTCTCGAGTCCGCAGCAATTGGCGAGAAGGGCTGATTATTCTGGCTGCAGTCCAGCTCACGCCCTCTCACATTTCCCATCTTTCGCATAAATCATGAACCAGTGAGTAAGAAGTCAAAGCGTTGTTACTGCTACCTAAATTCTTCGGTGCGCGCAAAGAAATAGCCAACGTCACTATGTCACTGCCTGAGCGGCGCGGCGCTGGTCTTTCCCATTTGCTGGCTGCGACCAGCATTGCATGTGTCGGACGCGCGAACCCTTCTTGCAACGTCACTTTCGGCGCGCTCCGCAGGTCGGATCTACTGGCCCAACCAGCGAGGAACTTGTAATTCTCCAATGGTTATTCGCAGCGATTTCGTAACGTCTGACGCAGCCCGGCTTGGTGGGGGCAACGAGTGGTAGGTAATCAGCGAGGTTTTCACGGGCCACTTTGTGAAAACTTGTAAATCTTGTAAATGTAAATTTCCATGTGGGAAAGGACGTACCGCATCAAGAAAAGAGTAGAGGTAGTAGTCGAGGAGGATCAGCAGCGCAGCGGCAAACGTGGTGACAAACCAGCTCATGAGGGCCACTTTTGCTCTGTCCAATTCGGCTCTGTTTGGCAGGCTGGAATCATTTTGACCTCAAGAATCCAGTATTTCCTTTCCATTTCAATGGAATTTGAGCACCAAGAAGTAATGAGGCTACCTTGCGACATTCATCAGCTTCCAGTTGCTCATTTCTTCTTTGGAAATGTAGCGGATTGCTTGCTGACCAAGTAATTCTCGATGGTGATCAATTTGCCAGAACACACTGCAACATCCACAACGTAGCTCCTGTTCGAGATTATCTCGGAATTCATAAAGTTTCTTCAATGTCTCCAGCCCATGTTGGTGATATGGGCGGAGTCAGGAATGCCCTTGTGCCCTTCTCACTGATGCTTACCTTCTCAATAGCTAATGAGGGGACTTTGACGGCAGCCATACCCCTGTTCAGTGGGATCTGTTCCTCCCACAAACTGAACGGTGGGGTAGGGGGATTTACAACGCGACTGATTTTGAATCATAAAAATTTGTACTAGTGAACGACTGACACTTTTTGAGAGAAGCAATTTGCGTAGGCGCGACTATTCAAGAAAGACTAATCTTGAAAAACGCGTTGCAACTATCTTGAAAGAGGCGAATGGGGAGTTGGAATATGTGCATTGAAACCAATGCACACGTCACCCAAGGTGGTAATAACTAACTGCATTTTGGAGCTCACAGCATTCATAGTCTTGTTCGCTGCTGACGCTTTAGGGGCGACGAGATTGGCGTGGTGCCAGCCTATTCTTCACCGATCGGTGGTCTCCTACCAGCCTCCAAAACTGGTGGGGAACACGCTGGTGTCGCGCCAATCCAATCCCTGAAACACCCAAGGATCCGCAGCGAACAGAGCTATGGATAGTCAGGACCGCCTATACCTTGTTACGAAGTTATTGTTGAAGTCCACATCTGTACGGTAATTTTCGATCATATTCACCGCATCGCGGAAGATGATGTACACGTAGAAAATGAACAGCGCCTGGATCACTTGTGAGACAGCCTTGAGCGCAACCTGAAAGCTAGCTTTTCGTCTCAGGGTTCGCCAACTACTTCGACCAAGAAACGACGAAAGATTACCTTGACATAATTGGTTCCAACGCTCACGATCATTTTCAACTGGGAGACTTGGAACACATTTTCGAGACGGGGCATTTCGACTAACATCATGTGAAGCTAAACATTGATGTTACAAATAAGTAAGATGTCTTAACCCAGATGCATTCTGGGGCATCTCAGGCGTGGTATCGCGCTCCAGTCAGCATTCGTGGACACTCACTCGACTAGCATTCAGCGTCAATTCAAATTGTCATGACAGCTTAACTTGAGACTGATCCTCATTCACAGATAGGAGGTAGACTGTAGCGACACAATTTAATTGACGTGTAAGCCCCTTGCCGAGTGAACTATCATGGAGCACTAACTGAT